GGGGGAGGGGGGAGGGGGGTGGAGGCGCAGAGCGGCAGATAGCGGCAGATTGGTCAGTGTCCCCGCGGGGCAACGGCGGTGCGGCCCTTCAGGGTAATCCCGCAGAGGCTCGCCAGGCGACGTGTAAGAAATGCACCCGCCGTCAGGCAGCCTTGCGAGAGGCGCTACTCTCTCTCTCGCTCCGTCTCTCTCAAAAGTTTCTCACCGCGTCTTTTTTCCTTCTTTCCCCATTGTACTTTTTTTTGCCCCGAAACGAAGGCGGCGGTGGCGGCGGCGGCGACGAGGTACGGACCTCCCGAAGGAAGAGAAATGATTCGACATCAATACGACTTTGTTTCAACTTGGAATCGATTACTCCCCCCCCCTCTCTCTCTCTCCCTCTGTTTCTCTCTCCCTCGCTCGCGCTACTGTCCGTGCTGCTGCAGCTTGTCGGGCCCGGGGCGCGGCCTGGTCTGGGCCTGGGCCGTAACCTCAGCGCCTGCTCTGACCCTCGTTACGGGCTGGCAAGTTGGCTCTCGCGGCTGAACCGATCCGACCACGACCCTAAGCCTTTATGTCGGGGCCTGCCTGTCCCGTGGAGCGCGCGGGGCGGGGCAGGGCGGGGCAGTGCGCAGAACTTCCCTGTAGCTACCACGTGATGACGGCGACTTGACGTTGCATACAAGAGACAGCCGTCCAGCCAGATGTCGCCACAGCCACACCCAGAAAATCACATCTTCCTCACAAGGAAATTCTGACGTTGCCGAAACCAATGAAGTATATGTTTGTGACCAGTAAAAGTTTTCGTTTGCTCAACGATTTTTTCTATTTGACAAACATCTATTTTAATTTGACAAAAATGTCGTTGGATTGAATAAAAATGTTCGTCATCCTCACAAAAAACGTTTCTTTGATTTCTGCTATGAAATTGTTGTTCAGGTATATAAAATTCTTTACGCCAAAAGAATTGCTTAGCTGGGTGCGCGCCCCACGCCATTCGGGTGTCGGAGTGGAAGGTGCTCCACCCCTTGAAGCCCCTCCGACAAAGCCACACTAATATTATCTAATATTGCGCAGCTGCTTTTGCCGCCGCGCTCCTCCCCCGCGCTCCGGTCTTGTGAAACGGAATATGGAAAGTGGCCTTGTATGAGATGATCAGCACCGAACCACCCTCTGCGGGACCAGCGATACACGCTCGCCCCCCTCCACCACCTCACCATCCACAATGAAATCATTAAATTAAGTCAAACAAACAAAAGGCGAAACTCACACCTTACTTTTTTCACCACACCCCGGGTCGAGCCCCGGGTCGTGAAAAGAGGAAAAATTGAGTATTCTTTCGGTGATCCATATGAAAAACACCCCCCCCCCCAGCCAACACCTCCTCCTCTTCTCGCAAGCGCGCTCTGCTCTGTGTGTCTGTGTGCGTGTGCAGCGTGCATTTGGGCGTGTGTGCGTGTGGGTGAGACGGGGAAGCGTATTAGGGAGCGCCGCGTGTATTTCCAGCAGCAGAGGCACCTTTGTCGCTTGGACCGCGCCGCAGCAGAGAGCGGCGCCGGGCGGAGCCGACCCCTCCAATAATACCTCGCCCAGCTCCGGCCCTAATCAGCTGGGGGCCAGCAAAAAGAGGGGGAGAGAGTGCGAGGGAGAGTAAGAGGGAGAGACGGAGGGAGAGAGAGAGGGAGAGAGGCCGGGAGAGAGGGAGGGAGAGAGAGAGGGAGAGAGGCCGGGAG